TGACACATCGCGTAGGTCTCTCACTATTCATGATGTAAAGATTACAGGTAACGCAGCGGCCATGCATGTCACACTTCAATATTCTAAGACTGATCAAACGGGTAAAGGTACTTCTATCCACATCAAAGCTATTCCATATTCTCCGCTATGTCCCGTCGCTGCCATGGCAACATACTTAAAATCGCGACCGACTGCTTCCCCTTATCTTTTCCTTCACTTTGATGGCAAACAACTAACTAGATTTCAGTTTCAGGCAGTGCTGCAGAAAGCCATCAGTCATCTTGACGTGGGGCATCTTAAATTCACTTCTCACTCTTTCAGAATCGGGGCTGCTACTACGGCAGCTATGAACGGTGTTGATGCAGAGACCATTAAGAGATTTGGTCGATGGTCATCTGATTGTTATCTCCAATATATAAGAATGTAAACTGCTTCCATAATTATAATGACAAATTGCGTAATTGTTGTAGGTGTGTGGGTAGTTGGCGACAGCTATCTGGCCCGAGCGAGACCTGCGCTGGCGGACACCCTCGGCAGCATGGGCCCGGTGGAGTGGCGTGCCAAGGGGGGCTGGACATGGCACCATTACAGGCCGGCAATAGATGATCTGATCGCCAACTCAGCCAGTCAACCCCGGATCCTAGTATTACACCTGGGCCCAAACGACCTCGGAGTCACCACCGTCCAGGAGCTCTTTGAGCAGATCATGGAGCAGCTACTCTACACTCGGTTGCGGCTTCCCCACACCAGGCTCCTTTGGTCCAATATGTTGCCGCAGTGTTGCTGGCGATATGCTAGAGATATTAAGTGTGTTGAACTTGGCCGTAAGAAGCTGAATAGGCGTGTTGCCAATCTTATGAGGACAATCGACGGTGAAGTCATCCGCCACGACTTTATCTACCCAGGTGTAGATCACTACATCAGTGATGGGGTGCACTTGACTCCCGTCGGGTTGCACATTTTCTGTGATGACATTCGCTGCAGCATAAGTTCATCATAAGTTCAGTTATCTGGTACTTTCATTGGCAAACTTGGTGGAGTCCTCCTGTGTTTTTCCCTCCATAATTTTACATTATCAATTCTACCAAAACATAAGATGACATAACACTTTCTACTTTATTTCGGTGTGGATGGCGCAGCACTTTCAGTGCTCGGTGGCGAGGTTCGGGGCGGACGCAGGACCAATCTCTCGCTCAATTTATACTTCGCTGCTGCTGCTAGGCTGTCTATTTTCCAATAGAGGCTACTTCCAACCTTCGGGTTGAAACATCGCCGCTACCTGTCTCGTCTGTTCAGGGTCCAACGGAGAGCATGTCATTAAACCGCTTTGGCTTGGCCCTGCGTCCGCCCTCGCCTTCCACACCTGGCCTTAGTAAATCCAATTCTCTACGTTGTTATCAATTTGTTTTTACATAGTTTATAGGAAAGTCGGACAATAATGAAGTGTTCGTATCCTCGAGTCATCTGTTTTCGGTCGGCCGTTTGCGTGTTCATTTCTCGCGGTTATTAGCGAGATATTACGTCACCAGACAGGTTTTTTTAGCAGGAGGTCGACTGCTTCAGCTCTGAGTAACAAAATGCTTCGTGTGAAATTTTGGAAGGTACATGATTGCAAACACATGTAAATATTACGTTTTAGAACCGAGTTTACTAATGCATAAATTTTCATGTAATCAAAATGTGATATCTAAAATATCGTCAACTCCACCTTTTCAGTATAGTGTCGCCTGTTGTTTATGGTATGACGTATCATTATCACATGACATATCACGTGGCGTTGCCGTCGTAAAAAATATATATGGAAACTAGATAGGGTCATCTCTTATTACGATTTTCCAAAATACTCATTTAATTTACAGTGTACTCATCCTGCATGCTGTCATTGGGTCCGCCTCAAGCTGTGCACCCCCGTATGTGTAGTGAGGTTGTCAGCGCGAACCGCAGGAGTGAAACATGCCTGGACATGTAATGTAACTAGCAAAGTCTTATCATGATTAACTTTGACATGAAATTATTACAACCGTAGTTTCTAATCATTATTATTGGAACTATTACAAATATTCTTTTTGGACTGTATGTTTATCAACTTTATATTATAAAAATATCAGCATAGCACGAATACTGCTATTAGATTTCTGTTTTACGGAGAACCAATGAAGTGAACGAAAACAGATGACGTCACTTCCGCATTCACGATGTTTGCGTAGTGAACTATGAGGCCTGCTGTGCGGGTGAAACACGAGGTTAATCCGTCAGATATTTGAATATCATAAATAAATATCAAACAAACGAGGTAGGTTTGTTTATTATCGATTTATTTATGCACTTTAGGTTACGTTGGTCGACAATCGTTACATGACCGAAAACCGAATACACAAGGATATATCTATGACGTCATTACTATGCCTCTCTGAATCATGAACAATAAAATAATGAGATTAAACTCTACACTGACAGAAATAATCTACCATCCCCTGAATATGATAAGACAATGAATAACATCTCTTACAACTCCAACCTACACTCAAAAAGACTGAAATGCACTCGCAAACAAACATCGCTGTCACACGCAAATTCTTGGAAACAGTGTATCGCTGACTCTCAATTCCAAGAAATGGAAGTCCTACTCTGCTTGACCAAAGGGGTGACAGGTGGCCAAAACATATTGAAATGTAGGTCATACACAGAAAATAACTCTGATTTAAAACACTACAAATATACACTTTCTCTCTAATATACTCGATAGATGATCTTGACAAGGGAACATGTACATAAAATGCTGATATCTAACAATACCTGTTCTCTAAATAATGGACTCTTCCAAATCTCAGCAGGTTTCACTGCACACACATTTAAATGCAAAATAATGAAAAACCTACACTTTGACAATAATAAAAAACATCATATTCAAATTCTACAGCGGACCAAATACCTGAAGAGTGTGTCTCCCAGCAATAAACATCTATATATCTCTACAAATTTATGACTTCTGTCCTCTCGCGTGCTATCTCGCATCCAGTTCTTTACGGCGAAAAACAATATGGCGCCAAGCAAGGGAGTGCTCATTAAACTAAACATCTCCGGGATAATTCATTGTCAAATTATTCTCTTACATGATCAACCTTAATATATAAATGAAGATAAAGACCAAACATCATCACCAAAAAAGACCAAACATTATCACAAATATTCAAAAGAGGTTGTAATGAAAGAGCATTATCATCTTTCTCTTAACATTTGTGATGGATATACTGGAAACAAGTGAAATGTTAAAAACCTGTTACCTTAGCATTGCTCCTTTTATGTGATCCACAAAGTTGTTGCCACCCAATCTTCGAAAATGAGATTTCTGCAAATTCCATTAAAATTAAATCTTATTTCATAATTAAATGTTCCCTACTAAATTACTTCTTTTGTATGTAACATTTTAACCAATAAGAGACATAAATCATCACGTCACTTCCAAACAAGTATAAGAATGAAAGTCTATGGGTACAGTTTTGTTAAGAATCATTAGTGAAGTTACACATTTTGTAAATAAATAAAAGTTCAAATAAATTATATACAATTTCATCCTTAACAAAGACTTGCACAAGACATTTTGATGTGAATTTTCGTTGCATGATCTGAGAAAGATTTCCTTTCGCCATTGCATTGAACTTCGCCAAAATGAACTGACAACGATCAACTGCCTTTGCGCGCGCGATAATTGTGCGCATGTCCCGATATGACCAAACGAGGCGATCGAAAGGTCAACATCTGGCATGTGTTTGAAAGCAAATTGTCGGGAATTATACAATTTTGACAGTTTTGTGGGAAAATATCAGATGTAATGCAATTCGGATAACTGACGATTTTATACCTAAAATCATTGATTTTTTCATTTTCAGTTGCGATTTACGTAATATTTCCGTCCGTTCATCGATGCACAATCAAACAATATATAAGATTTTATCTGTCACTAGCTCGATCTTGATCTTTTATGATTTAATGTTCCGAAATGAAAGTTGCTAAGTTGGATACCTATTATCAATTTGAATTATGTATCAAATTTGCCAAGGAAACAATTAGCTTTGTTGGTTCCTTACGTTGAAACAACGTTGACAACTAAACAAATCTCGACTAACTTTCTTTGGTCGCATGATAAACGTTGAATCAACGTTTATGAAAGGTTGATCAACCAAACAACCAAAAGTCAACGTTAATTAAACGTTGACTCAACATTGTGTGCCCTCTTGGATCCTTAGTTACCGGGGTGTAATGAAAGAAAATAAGATAAAGATTGGTATAGGGGCATTTATAAGTCTGTGGCGGTTGCGTCATTTCTTATTTTGGCTCGTGCAATGCGACGAAATATGACGTTTTCCGAAATATTTACTCCACAACATTTGATTTTCGCACGCTTTCACAAGAACAGCTTATTACTAGGATGTTTGAAATAAACATGTGAACATTCACGGCGATTTCCTCTTTTGCGTGGTACACTGTTTATATGGCTACGATCGGTATTTTACTATTTATGATTTTTGGCGTAAACCCATATTTGCGTCGTATACTGAACATTTCAATTATCATGTAGCAGACGACATAACATTCATTTTGTTCGTTAATGTAACGCGAATATATAGTTAAATCATTCTACTAACGTCTCATTCACCTAATCGTTTGAAAAAAAGTACATATTTCCATTATTGTTCATTTTGATGATTATATTTGTGGAAAAGGTCCTTATTTATTATGTAACAATTCATATATTTTTCTGTTATCATTCTTCCTACTGATGTTATGAGTTATATTGCTATATATTATTATATTATTATACAGTACCAGCAGCCTGACTTTATGCAACAATGAATCAATATTTAATTTATATCATTACACTCTTTATATAATAAATTATCATTTGTTTGGCAGATGCCCAGGAAAAAGAAAGTTTTCATCAGCAGTCGCCGGAAGGGCTACTCAAAGAGCGATCCACAAGGTGTCAGTTCTTCCTCTCTCTCTGACATTCTTATTCATCAGTTCAATCAACTGTTCTTGACGATTGCAGGTAAGTAATAATGGAAGTAAGAAATTCACAAATGATGTCTTTGAAACAAAATGAGTAATTTTGTGTTGATATTTTGTAGTTATTGGTATTTATTTATTTTATTGGTATTTGTATATCTGGTACCTGCAGAAATAAGTTTAAAATATCAAAGCAATTATATAATTAAATATAAATATTGTTTCTTTTCTTATGTAAAAACAAAGGTATAGTGTAAATTATTAAGTACAATATTCCCATCTTGAGTAAGTAACTAGACCTTGTTTGAAAGAGCATTGGCAACCAACTATTGCATAATTTAACAACTATATACAACACTTCAATTGTTTTTTTAATATTAATATTGTGTAACTGCTTTTTCAGTTCAAGAGATGCACTGTGGGACAAAGCATGGAAGTCATTCTTCATTGACCTCACCGATGAACCCACAGATACCCCATGCCTGGAAGAAGCAACAGAATCTGATGGTTGTTCGGCTGATGAATTCTTTGGTATTTTGGACACAATTCACCAGTATCATCCGGACAACAATGTAGATGAATTTGTTGATGGCATCCTGCGATACCAGCAATATTTAACATTAGAAAAGGAGCTGTTTCAGCATGTAGATGAGCTAGGCAATTTTACAATTGCAAGAAACAAGCGGGAAAACATTACTATTGTGAAGTTTTATGACAATGACGTAGTCTCAGTCCAACTTTCAGTAGTCATCAAGCCATCCTTTACAGCAGCAATATATGCACATCGACGTGACTTTGGCCCAAATCATGAATTCTGAATTGGTTTACCTGCATTTTTCTCCACTCTAAGAGATATGAAGAAACTTTTATCAAAACTGTCTACATACCATGTTTGCGTCGGCAATTATGAAGACAGATTTGCAGACTTGATTCCAGTTGGTGTAGGCATAAGTGAAGGAGCTATTTCAACAATATCTGCCCAATAATTTAACATGTAATAAAGTACATGAGTAGAAATTATGGAAATTGAAATCCAATGTACAGTTCAATTCATGGATATCTAAAATATCTGTTAATGAAGTTATATTAAAATTGTGTACAGATTTGTATGATTTTATGTTTTACATTCACAATCAGTCCTAAATGGACAACATAAATATGCAGTTTGTGTTGCAAGAAGTTTATAAGTTATCATCTTCCCTTATTTTATCATGAATACAATTAATATATTTTTCTGTTATCATTATTCTTCCTAATGAAGTTTGATTATGAGTTTACCTGGGCTTAGACAGTACCCACAGCCTGTCTTATGCAACAAAAGAATGAAAAATGAACTCATTATTCAACATTATATTTATATCATAAAATTATCATTTATTTTGTAGATGCCCAGGAAAAAGAAACTTTTCATCGGAAGGGCTACTCAAAGAGCCTACTATTAAGTACAATATTCCCATCTTGATTAACTAGATATACCTTGTGTGAAAGAGCATTGGCAACCAACTATTGCATAATTTTAATTTCAAATTCAGTTTAGAGTTTATTTGCAACAGTTGAAATTCACATTTACTGTGTTTTTAAAGAGAAAATATCTAAATGGTTTAATTTAGTAATACAAATAGATCTATGGTCCTATTCTACAATAAAAACATTGTACATATAAGAACGTGTGATGTTGTGTTTTAATGTTATTGCTTGCATTTTCCTGCCAAGTTAAAGTTCACACTTTGCTGAAATTTTTTAATTGATAGGGTAATGTAGTACAGCCCATTTAACACGTATATTTTATGGGCTCGGAGGAAAGTGACTTTAGCATTTAGTGGCTTCCCTTTGAAAAACAACAACAAATGTCTCCATACGGCCCAAAGCATAATCACTGCTAGCCCCAAACTGGCATTATAAAAACATTAACGCTCTTGGATAATGTGAAATCGTGTTTTGTTGGGACTATAAACTTTATAATAAACACCAGCCAGTCACAGGCCCTCGTGTCTTTCCTAGGATTCATGATATTAAAAATATTGTTTTTGAGATGACACCCCGACTCGAAATGCTTCACAGTACAATACATAATGACAAGGCCGGACACTTCTAGGGTGCACCCTACCCGACCGCGTTGCCGATCGCTACGCTACCATCGCATGCAATCGATTAAAACTTTATGTAAACATAATCATGAATGATTGGCCTATCGAGCAACACTCGTGACACCTACCAATTCTTTATTGTTATTTAAGCAAGTCGATTGAAAAGCGATTTTGACTCTCAACTAAACGATCTTGACACAAATGGATGACGATATGTCCGCACACAACAGGGATGTGGTCGAAGCAAGTCCTCTGATTGGCCAACGCTTGCAAATCTGCACATTCTTTATAAATTCGCGGGAAGTTTTACTTTCATCGACTGCTTGACCGCACCGTCGTTTTGTGCCAACGAATACTTGCAAGTAAATCTTGAGATTAGCAATGTGATGATACGTTTAGCGAGCATCGGGGATATTGGCAACTGTAATGTTAAAACTGCCTTTACCTGACTGGGTTAGTTTGATTATTGTATGTTTGGTTTATATTCTCTGTCCTGTCGTAGTCTGTAAATTCTCCAAGTAAGTATCGAGGTCCAAGTCCGGGGGAATCATCCCAGTGAATGAATTAAGTCGTCCATGGCCATGCCGAATGTTGAAACAAATATTCCAGGCTTATGACGACACGCATTTCGCGAATGATACATGTTCTGCGATGTTGTCAGTTGACATGTGCAAATGAGAGATAAGATAAAAATTAAGATTATTGTAATCAGTTTATTGGAGCTGTCCATGTAATGTTTAACTGTCAAACGCAGCCGGTGAAATCCCGCTAAGGGAATTAACTCTCGGCCCGGATATTACGCAATATTGTTTACGTGGTTACCAGAGTGCTCATTTGCGAATGTCTGCGCATCTGTTGCGCATGTGTACCGGTAGAGGGAAGTTAGCAGCAGGGTGTCGATGTGTATCAGTTACATGCCAGGCCGTAGCGCTGATGGTTAGTGATAAACTGTTGGGGAGGGCCGACCCTCTATTATATGGTCTCTGATATCATGTTGTTAACAACTGGAAAAGTATTGTGAGTTCCCACATGTGAGTACATCTACACACTCAATTTGGTTTTATGCAAGCTTCGTGTATAGTTTGGAAAATGATGAACCTAGGAAAAAGTATTGACTATGATTGGACTGTGTTTGTTCATATTGTGTGAGCTTTAAAGTAGATTCAAGGGATATGTGAGTAATGTGTAATCAACTTTCTATAGGTAGTATTCTGTGTGTGTATCGAATTATTGGGTTGTGTTTATTCATATTATTGTGTGGGATTTAAAGTAGATTCATGGCATATGTGAGTAATGTGTAATCAGATTTCTATAGGTAGTATTCTGTGTGTGTACCGGATTATTGTGTTTGTCTTAATTCATATTATTGTGTGGGATTTAAGTAGAATCATGACAGATGTGACTAGTTCTACTGGGATTCTAATGTACAGTATTCTGCATGCACCGCGATAATAACTATGATTGTTTGTTAATGGCATTTTATTCAGTTTTTCATCTGCGGGCATGGCTAGGACTTTGTCATTTGTTCAAAATGGCTGCCGGGGCGAGGGCCGGGGACGTGATCTATGACCTATGATCACGCATGCATGCATGGGAGAGATTCCCCTCATTGTCATAGGATAGTAAACAAATGTGTGTTATATATGTATATTGTGTATACATCGGAATCATGGGTGGGCAAATGTCTTTTTCATAGTTGGAGAACAGTGTGAATCAATCTGTTTTCTCCACATGAATAAATGTCTTGTCACACCCAACAAAACATCATGAACACCCTGGATAAATACTGTGTTATTCCGTGCTGATTCATTGGTCATTCATGTGGATATGATGAACTACAACGAAGGTAAGCTGACTTCTTGTTCATGTACACTAGAATAGTGTTAATCCCAAAAACTCAACCGTTCAATCTGAAGATGATGAAAATCTTATGCCTGTGTTACAATGTGTGTTTCTTTGACTGAAGGTAGGGCGTTGTATACATTTGAATATAACATTTTCAATAGTATAGTTATATTTAGTCAGACTGTAAATGAATGCTGACCTATGTTGCTTTTAACAAATGTGTCATAAAATCTGTAAACTGAACCCTGCAATTTCGTTTTACACATGTGTCCACATGTTAGGTCTACGATTGCATACAATTTGAGGAGGTGTCACATTAAACCTTGGCTGAGTGAAGCGAGGCCAGTGAGGAGGTGGTGGATTTGGGTTTAACGTCGTGCGTGAGAATATTTCGCTCCTATGACGACGTGCATGCGTGTGTATGTGCGCCTGCTTGTACTAGCCCAGACTTAAACTGGTTTTATAGTGCTAGCCCACTGAGATACCATGCCGCAGTGAAGCATGAATACCCCACTCAGACACATTATACTGACTCCGAGCCGACCAGTCCTCGTTGTACCCATTAATGCCGAGCGCCAGACAGGGACCAACAAGTACCATATTTTAACGTCTTTTGGTATGACGCTGTCGGGGATCAAACCCGCGACCTTCCGCACTCCGGGCGGACGCTCTAACCAATACACCACGGAGGCGGTCCGAGGCCAGTGTGGAAGGGGTGGGAGGTGGTAATTGATTCTGCAGTAACGGGCGCTCGCTTTGAGATTTGAGATAATACATTTTCTCTACACGCGGCAGGAAAGGTTAGAGAGAGTGGAAAATATTAACATTTTGTAAAAATAGCAAGTGAGAACTTCAACTCATTGTGAGAGGGGTTATAGTCTTATGTAAAACCGGAATAAACCAGAGCGTGACCTGAGGTCAATCTGGACCCATACCTAATATGGTCAGCCACCTGTGTCAAACCTTCCAGAACTTTCTCTGTGTGATGATGGTCTCTCCGAAAATGAGGTTACGCTTCTAGAATAGTCTATGAATAATGAAGTCAGCCACCTGTGTCAAACCTTCCAGAACTTTCTCTGTGTGATGATGGTCTCCGAAAATAAGGTCATAGATTCCAGAAGTTTCTGTATAATGAGGTCAGCCACCTGTGTCATACCTTCCAGAACGTTCTCCGTCACCGTGATGAGGTCACACACCTGTGTCATGAATCATAGATTCCAGAACGTTCTACGCCATCGTGATCAGGGGGTATGACCTTCATTATGCGGTCATAGGTTCCAAAATAGTCTATGACCCTGCATAATGAGGTGACACAGGTGTTTAATTAGGTCACCCAGGTGCCTCATTAAAAAAAACATGGCCGATTTTTCGGTTGAATACCCAGGTGTACAACATACTTCTCAGTTTCACTGTCCTTGCTGAGATTTCTGAATATGTGACTGATCCTCTGAGGTGTGTGTAGGATCCAAGAGACCGCTTGGCAGGTACAGAGATATACCTGCTGCAGCACTGGAGTCAAAGCTGGGGATGATACCAGCCTGGTCTCGACTGCATCTCGGACCGAAGGTCGAAGAGGAAGTCGAGGAAATTTGGTAGACCTGATTCGATCTGACTCGACCTGATTCGACCTGACTCGTTCTGAAACTCGACCAACTAGACCTTCAGGTCGAGAAGGTCGAGTAGTGTAAGGTCGGCACTGGGACCGCACCATTAAGTAGAGAACTGACCTCTACCTCAAGATCTGCATCCATTGCTGAGTCTTGAGAGGCAGGTTATCCCACAGAACACACTACAGACATTAATGAACTTAACGAGGCGTCGCTGTGTTGCATGCGTGACTGGTGGGGCGGTCACACTCGTTACTGACCTTTCACTCAGAGCCTTGATTTTCGGTTTTGACCTCAGTGACATTATTGACATCACCACTTGGTCACGTTATGACATGAAATAGATTGTTCATGAATTTCCCTTTCTCTATACTCAGTAAATAATGAAGTTACCAACACATGCCTCTGTCTTCTGTTCCTGTTTGGTTTTAGGCGCAAACATATCGGTGTTCCCTAACTTGTTTTGAGTAGTATACTAATAGAAGGCACAGTAAAAGTGACGTCATGTTTATTACACAGCGTTCATTTCTGTGTTAGACTTTAGCGTTGATGTACGCATGCATTTTCCATGAACCACTGAGCGTTGCAGAGTGTCGACAGTGAGTAATGGTTCATTGGGGAACAGAATAAAATCAACATGACCTTTACATATTGTAGCTGTGTTCGCCGGTTCCGATGTCAAGTCAAATCGCTGTGACAACGTATCGAAACATCCAACGTTTACAGAATATCAATGTTGCTGTCATTTCTCTTGCAGGCATGTGTTGAGCCGGAAGTTATTAGTCAAACGGCCTTGAACCCTCCCCCCAAAGGACGCTGGGAGGTAAACCATGTGAAGCTTGTCCTATTGCACAAACAGCTCCTGAAAAGCGCTTTAAAGTAAGACAGTAATCACTCATGTAGCTGAGCTATCTCATCGTGCTGGTATATGTTTCCTTGAAGCTCCGCCAAGCTGCAGTGTTCGCACGTAACTAGGGACAGATAACTCCTAAGCAGTTGCTGTGGGCAACAGTAGACATTTTACTAGCCAACTACACGTCAATCATTTACAGTCATTGACAATAAGTACCAATGTTTACAACAATTAAATGTCTTTTAACACAACATTTAGGGTTATACTGATATTGTCTGACGTATTATTCACTACCAATATGTTAAAACAATTAACTATCACTTAACACAACATGCAGAGATATACCGATATTGTCTGACGTATTATTCACTACCTATATGTTAAAACAATTAACTATCACATAACACAACATACAGAGATATACCGATATTGTCTGACGTATTATTTACTACCAATATGTTAAAACAATTAACTATCACATAACACAACATGCAGAGATATACCGATATTGTCTGACGTAGTATTCACTACCAATATGTTAAAACAATTAACTACTACACAACTCAACTTGCAGAGATATACCGATATTGTCTGATGTAATTTTCACTACCAATATGTTAAAACAATTAGCTATCACATAACACCACTTACAGAGATATACCGATATTGTCTGACGTATTATTCACTACCAGTATGTTAAAACAATTAACTATCACATAACACAACTTGCAGAGATATACCGATATTGTCTGACGTATTATTCACTACCAATATGTTTAAACAATTAACTATCACATAACACAACATGCAGAGATATACCGATATTATCTGACGTATTATTCACTACCAATATGTTAAAACAATTAACTATCACATAACACAACATGCAGAGATATACCGATATTATATGACGTATTACTCACTACCATTATTTTAAAACAATTAACTATCACATAACACAACTTGCAGAGATATACCGATATTGTCTGACGTATTATTCACTCCAATATGTTTACAACAATTTACTGTCACACAACACAATAAACAGGGCTATACTGATATTGTCTGACCTATCTTCATTAAAAATCAAATAGAAATGAGATAATAAATATGAAATCCTGTTTGAACGATGTTAACCAGTTGTTCGTTTTCTGACGAACTGCACAAATGCATCTTTTTCAAAATTTCGTAGCTTTCTAAAGCAATTAAAAGCAGAATGCGCTTGCAAGCTGTGCCAACCATGTCAAAAGTCCTTCAGCATGTCGTCATAGTTACGTTTCTTGAGGACAACTGGAAGTGGAAAATGTCGAGACTGAATTTGGCTACTGGCAGCATTGTCACAGGACGTCTTGAAACTGGAAAGTCCCAGTTTGCAGTTGAAGGTCATTTCAACCTAAATCATGGAATCGGTGCCGCGACTACCGCCTCAATTCCAACCCAAGATTGTTCAAGAAGTGCTAGACCAAGAGTTACCACCTATTCACAAGACGGCTGCATCCGGGTCTCTCCTCTTGTTATGTGGTTGTGTTATTCATTGTGCAACAATATTCCATGTGTAACAATTCTACATGTATTAGTTAGAATCTATGTAGAGAAATCTTAGTGATTAAGAAGGGCGAAGCCACTAAGATTTCTCTACATAGATTCTAACTGACTTAGAACTCCACCTACTTTTGATCGACAGTTATGAAGTGACGTCACTAGCAAGGTCATATGCTACGTAATTTCTTTACCTCACAAATTCAAATGTGCGCTCTGAAGTGGAGAGCCATGGACGAGCAGTCCGATTTCGCGAATTCTGATTTGCTGATTGACGGACTTTTCAACAATACTGACTTTGAATGTATACAAACTGCAAGTCTAGCCCAGTTGCTGTCTATTCCATATCAAGATTTTGTAAAACATGAGGAAAGTGACGGTCGTTTCGCCCCACCTGTATCATCCTATGATATCTAACAAGAACAAAAGGAAGCGAAGAAAACGCAAGAAAACAACCAGTGGGCACTAAATGTTTGGAAAGACTGGGTGTAGTACCGAAATCAGCATGCTTCAACTCTCTTAGAGTTTGGTGTAATTCAGGGGATATTTCTGCGTTGAATAACCGCGACCTTGATTTCTGCATGCAACGTTTCATTCTTGAAGTACGGAGAAAGGACAAATCGCCGTATCCCCCTAACACATTGATACAGATCGTATCGGCGTTACAAAGACACCTTCGGTAAGAGTGTGGCAGTCACGTGGACCTCAAGTCAATAAAACATGAAAACATTGTTTATGTGTATCTTTTGACCAATCGGCAGCTTGCTAAATGCCCGCTGAATGCCGAGTTCTTAATCATTAAGAGCCTATTGACACAGGGAAATGGGAACCTTTGATTGGTTTAAAAAGTAGGTTGAGTTCTAAGTGCGGATAGTCAGTGAGAGGCAGTGGCGTGCTTTATTTAGACTTGTGCTATATTTAGGCTTGTGCTATATTTAGACTTGTGCTATATTTAGGATTGTGCTATATAGACAAACTTCAGAAAGGTACTACACGGTACTCCAATTATGTAAGCCTTTCCACTATATTCTGACCAGGGAGAAGGAGAATCTTCTGGTGTATTTTTCTTAGGGACATATGGGCAGCTAAGACCAGCACTTGTGCAGAGAAATTCTTACCCTAAATACTCAGCATGGGCCTAAGTTTGGAAACCCATCATTGCTGCTATGAGGTGAATATTACACTCTGTCTGTATTGCTGTAATCACTGCTTTTGAATTTGCCAGTCATTTTGTGCTGCCACTGTAATCCCTTTGTGGTGATTTGTAAGCTTAGTTTATTTTAGAATATAATTGCTAATTACATCCCATCATTTAGTGGTTTGTTGGTGTCACACAGAGTACAGGCTGATTCCCGGTTATGTACTGTGTTAGTTTCAACGTTGGTGTCACACAGAGTACAGGCTGATTCGCGGTTATGTACTGTGTAAGTCTCAACGTTAGTGTCACACAGAGTACAGGCTGATTCCTTGTTATGTAACTGTGTTAGTCTCAACGTTGGTGTGAGACAGAGTACAGGCTGATTCCCGGTTATGTACTGTGTTAGTCTCAACGTTGGTGTCACACAGAGTACAGGCTGATTCCCGGTTATGTACTGTGTTAGTCTCAACGTTGGTGTCATACCGAGTACAGCCTGATTCCCGGTTATGTACTGTGTTAGTCTCAACTTTGGTGACAGACCGAGTACAGGTTGATTCCCGGTTATGTACTGTGTTAGTCTCAACGTTGGTGTCACACAGAGTACAGGCTGATTCCCGGTTATGTACTGTGTTAGTCTCAACGTTGGTGTCACACAGAGTATAGGCTGATTCCCGGTTATGTACCGTGTGTCTCAACGTTGGTGTCACACAGAGTTCAGGGGATTCCCGGTTTTGTACTGTGTTAGTCTCAACGTTGGTGTCACACAGAGTACAGGCTGATTCCCGGTTATGTACTGTGTTAGTCTCAACGTTGGTGTCATACCGAGTACAGCCTGATTCCCGGTTATGTACTGTGTTAGTCTCAACTTTGGTGACACACCGAGTACAGGTTGATTCCCGGTTATGTACTGTGTTAGTCTCAACGTTGGTGTCACACCGAGTACAGGCTGATTCACGGTTATGTACTGTGTTAGTCTCAACGTTGGTGTCACACAGAGTACAGGTTGATTCCCGGTTATGTACTGTGTTAGTCTCAACGTTGGTGTCAAACAGAGTACAGGCTGATTCCCGGCTATGTACTGTGTTAGTCTCAACGTTGGAATATACACGTAACAGTTCTCACGCCACCGAGACTGTCACACATGTGATAAATGTGGGAGCCTGAATGTGACCTGATGAACGAACGCTTGAATCTTCAGGTTCTGGAGAGTACAAGATCATAGTAGATACAATATCCATATGTGGATCATGCCTTCTGATGAGCGAACACTTCAACTGCTAATCTATCCTCGGGTCCTAGAGAGTACAGGATCATAGTAGATGCAATATCCATACGTGTAATAGAAGCAAGGCGTGCAGGCTAATGGGCGAACGCTTAAACCACAAGGCTACCGCTTGGTTCTACAGAAAAATCTTGTTATACCCTTATACAAATAGTAGCTAGACCTACTGTCTGACTAGCAAACACTTTAACCACTGGGCTACCATTGAGTCTATGAGAACATTACACAAGTCGTACAAAGTGTGACAATGAGAAATATGATCGTCAGAGCGCGTTCGAGAACGATGGTCAGCTGTTTCCATTCATATGTAGCCTCGGCAAGACTGTCTTGTGATGTGATCCTCTCCTCTTGTGTAGGTCCATGGCCTTTTCTACCGTGTGGAGCAGTCGGTTGAGAACATCCACCACGTTATTCCCTCCACCGGGCTGACCCTCCGTCATGGTGGGTCCTGGTTTGTCTGCATCCATGGCCTCGTCATCAGCAGGGATTAAGACCTGTGTGTTAAAATCAAGCAATAATTTCCGGGAAACACAAATAAATACTGGTAACGCTTTCAGTATCAGTCCAGGTTTCCACCAACCAAAATAAACTATTTCTGACATTATCACAGAAGGAACATTAAACATACCATGTTCTCATCTGTAGACTCTGGTGGGTCTATTTTGATGAAGAGGATCCTTGCAAGAATATTAAAGCACACAGTTTTCACAAGCCGTGGGGGTCTGTGTCCTCTCGTCTCTCTGTGATGAATATTCAGAGTGAACACGGCCAGACCAATACTCAGAGACACAATGACGATGTTGATCGCGAAGTACCAACCTACAGGTGAAAAGCCGATATTAAAGACATTTGATGGGGAGAATGCCAGTGTGATTCCAGAAACAAATTCCATTGCTGTACATGGATACATTATGACAAGCAATGACAAGCATATATATATATATAGTTTCAATGTTGTTTAAATGTAGTATAAATGTAGTCATAATATAGTATAATATAGTTTGAATGTTTCAATGTCAGCATAAAATAGTATAAATGTGGGGTACGTGTGGCGTACTGTAGCATATGTTAGAAATGTCACTCACTCACAAATTCAATTTTTTTTCTAGTATTCTTTAAACCGGGGGCACATTATAGTGGTCGTCTTTTGAGGAGCCATCACTGCACAGGGCAACAACAAGATGAGCGAGTTAAAGCTACTTCATTCACTCACTGAAACTATTTAAAACAAGAAAAACACAACGTACCAATTAGAGGAACCGCAAGCGCCGTCGGTGGTAGCAATGTTGAAATAACAAGCAACAACGCTATCATTGACAGAAGAGAAGTGATTCCAATAGATATTTTCTCTCCAGATTCGTTGGGCACCAGGAGTCCCAGCAGAGCCACCAACGTGATGATGAGGCAGGGCATCATGAGATACATCAGGAAGAACAGGGGCCGTCGTCTCAGGGTCATTCTGTACGTTAATGCAATGTAGGGCTGTGGGCAACATGAGTAATGCGTGATCTGCCGGGCGTTTGTAAATGAGATCAGCTCCCATTCCGTATTGGGAATGTATTCAGATAAGGATGGTGCCCCTTGTTGACCATTTGAGATATTGAGTTCATCGCCATTGTATGTCCACGACTCGAACATCACACTACATACTTGTTGGTCCATGGAAAGGATGCGACGTTGATATGACACGACGTCTTCAAGATGACCTGGTAGTGCACAAATACGTTTCCTCTTGACATCAGAAATGCGTTGTTTATTCCGCTTGTCGATATTTGATTACCTTCGGCTCTGCACCGGAAGTGAATACAAATTACCAAATACTTTCAGTTTATAAATGTAAATAGTTTAATTGGCTTTAAACAAGTTGGTAACTTTGAACACTGAGGAAAGCATGTGTTCAGACATATTAAATATATACTTCAGTCATTATCTCTCGACTGATCACCTTCTCTCTCTCTCTCTCTCTCTCTCTCTCTCTCTCTCTCACATTCTATTTCTCACACACACACACACACACAATAATGTTCATATAAGTGACAAAATCATGATACAGTTCATTACAGAATGCATAGTTCTTAAATTAATTAAACTTAAATAAGATTTGATATTGCCCGAAGTCACCCCATCAGCAGGTACACGTGTTTGTAGAGCTGTGTGTTACCCGTAGCTTATTGGCGGCGGGAAGATGAACCAGTCCCGTTACCAGTCCATTATTATAATTTTTGCGAATGGATCCAATTTTGACGATTTGAAACTTCTGAATGTTCAACCACACTTCTTTCCAACCTCATAGTATCTTGACAGCTTTTGACAGTATCATAGCAACGGTCATGTGACTAACATGTCCACTGATTCCTCGCCATCTTTGCATCCTTCTACATAATCCAGTAATGGCCACCTATTGATACAAAACAATATTCAAGCAATATCAAGACGGGGACACCAGAAATGGGCTTCACACATTGTACCTATGTGGCCAATCGAACCCGGGTCTTCGTCGTGACGAGCGAACGCTTTAACCACTAGGCTACCCCACAGCCCCAGCCACCTCTTGAAGATACAAACAATAGTCCAGCTTTCAGCAGGTGTCGATGGTGTCGTATGGAGGAGGCAAACTTACTTCTTCACGGTAGGTTAAGACTGGTATAACACATTATGTTAGTGTAATAACAGTAGTTTAAAATAAATTGTTTAGAGAGGAATACCACTCAAGTAATATTATGTACAGAGAATCAACAACAAGCCAAAATGAACTATTTCTAAAATACTTTCATCATAAACTAGCTATATTTTATTACACTGCACAGTCTGATTCCGTTAGAACATTTTGTTTTCATGGATATAAATGTACGTTCAGGATGAACTGTTATAAAAAATACTCTCATCATAACACATGCTATAATTGATATCTGGGGGTACTTACGCGTTACTTATGCGTATGTCAGGCGTCCATATGGCGTCAGCTGGGACACGGATCCCTGTTATGTTCTTATGTTTTTCTGGTTGCCATGCTAATGATGCATCCTTCCATTCCTAGGAAAATATGACAAAAAATATCTCAGTTTATTTTTATTGAGTATTGTTGCTTTAAGTCTGGTTTGTACAGTAATCCTTAAATCTGCAGAAGTGGAATTAGCTTTGAAGCAAAATACCAATAAAGGTCTTAGTAGTATACACAATGGGGTATAGATCAGGTCCTTATCCAAGGCTTAATTCAAATTTAAGCAATGGATAAGTCCATAAGTGCCGCTGATTGTTTGCCTGCATCGTTCGAGCGCAGCTGGTGCTGGCGTGGTGGTGGTGCTACTTCTACTTCCGGTGTCGGTGCCATGATGCCCATTTCATACTGAGACATGACTCGACTCGCGTTATTTACGTCCTGGTTCAATCCGAACTTTTGATCAGCGGTCGCGATGACGATTTCGTTGTTGTAGCCCACCACTCTGCTCACCCTCAGTCGCATGTCGCTCGGAGCCATGTACAGTTTTGCGCCCAACACGTAGTCGACTTTCGACTGGGCGTACTCCAGAGCGATTCCCAGCATTCGACCGGTCTAGCAATGGCATCCTCTACGTTAGCCACGAAATGTTTCTGCGAGTCGTAAGTCATCCCTTCACGACCCACGATGCTGGAACAGGTTTGCGTCTGAGCACCCAGCATGGCCCACACGTACGTTCGAATCGAATCGTTCAATCTGACGACACCGGCATGAGTAAACCCTTTGAAGGGTCCAGCATGAACATTTTCCAATCATCCGTGGGTCCCTGCTCAAACCCCAAAACACAGGAATCCTTTCTGTCGTTGAAATCCATGTAATCGTCGTTCCACTCGTTCGTCGTGACGTAATGATACGACTTGTAACCCCAATCTTTCACCAGCTGTTTGCTGGCTTCCACGAGAGACATGTTGTGAACGATATGAATGCCCAAACCATGGTTAGGACCCGGCAAACGCCAATAGGCCATCTTCGGATCTAGTTCGAAGTCACCGCAAACGCGTTTGTATGCATCGTCGATCATATGGATTGTTTACGGTATTCCACGCCTTGTCCTGCGGAATCGGGCGCTGATTTCTTCAGGATACGTCTGATCTGGTAATACACGTGAAACGAGAATACAGACCGACTCAGTTCATCACGACGAGTGTCGTTCAACGTCACACTGCACCAGGTCGTCGCGCACCACACACAGTGAAATTGAATTGATTCTGCCAGAACTGTATCGGGTTGTGGAACCAAGCGTGTACCGTTTTCACGTTGGTGACCGAAAACCCATAATTTTCAACATGTCGATGAACCCAATCATGAAATGTAAGCCATCCTTTGCATCGACAACAATACTCGGTTGCGAGAAAGGTAGCACTTATATTATCACTTTTAGAATAAAACACTCCCCGGTTTGTACTTATTTGAATTGTTATATATTTTAGTATACATATCTACTACTTTTCAATATATATTGTACGTGACGCTTCCGGGAATCACGAGCGGCGAGTCCGTTCAACTGCTGCACGTGGTTGATAACAAGGAAGAAATCTTCAAACCCGTGGGAGCCAAACTCAAAATGAACGACTTGAATAAATGGCACAGTCATGTTATCCAACAACGGAAAAACGACTCAGTCGGCCATTGGCTAAAACGCTCGGGTTTACGTCGAACGACATACCACCGGAAACCACCGTGACAGGCACGAAATTACCCGATCTCGTTCTGTATCACGAACTGTGTATTCATCTCGATCAGCTGAGCATGACCGACAACTTTCAAGGCGAACAACCTTCTACACTGTGACAGTGAAAACGGAAAAGTACAACGACGGAAGAACCGGATCGTTTTCATTGGCGGCATTACAAGATATTAATCCGAGGCAACATCACAGAATTGAAAATATTGGTTTTAGACGTTAAACACTATGCCGTAGGTAGAGGGATATCTGGAGGATGTCGAAACAACGGCCATCTCCAGAAACACGCAGTTCACTCTCATCTTCAACAATGACAACAAATGGGTATCAGTGCCATCCAAAACAACTGGAATCTCAACATCACGCTCGACTCTCCCCACGTTTTCACAGACAACAAAGATCACTACCTAATGAAAGTTGTGAACAACGGCAAGCTTCCCATGGCTTACGTCCCTACGCAAAGACGCAGCGTGATCGTAAGCACGTTGAGGCAAAGAGTAGCCCACATGCTGTCGAGCAAACCTGTGATGCAAAAAGTTGGATTGCACATGGTGTCTGAATTCGACAGCGTGGTAGACGTCCTGGAAAATCTGCCAACGAAATCAATGCTGTACATCCAAGTCTACCTCGGCGAACTGCTGTCAGCTAGCTACGCCGTCAAAATCATGAAAGAGATCAAACTCCGCTGGGCCAAACAACAACAATACCAATTTTGCTTCCGTTTACGCGGCAGGTGAACGGTAACGCCTACACCAGTCTGCAGGAGTCACCGTGACCGTGGAAGACACGATATCGCTCACCAAAATTTTACTACTCGACAACATACATCTCATGGGTTTAAAGTGCATGTCCGAGGAATTATCCGATAAAAACCATTTCTGTATTTGTGCATAAAACAACTGATGAACAACCATCACCCAAACGTAACGCTAGCCGATCTCTGGCACACGCGGGGATTCGATCTGCCCGGCGAGGAAAACACCTTGTATGTCCTGCACTTAAAAGACAACGTATATGAGCGGTTGTCACTAGCAGACTTCAAACAGCCAGACTGGTTGATCAACATGACCCTCACCTCACTCCACATATCTTTTTAATAACAATGGTTACGTCTCCAAAATTAAGAACAACGGGATCCTTCTCACGTCTTTCACTCCAGAGTTTGAAGTACAAGTTTTACGAATACCAGGTCACACGGGCAACATGTTAGCTTCCAAAGGATGTGGCTTCACATTTACGGTTCGACGTACCCGATTACAGGATTTTTCGATTCAAATTTGACTATCAAATCACACACTACGCTCGTAGTAGATGTCTATCTCGCTGACGCTCGTGGGAGGTCAGAAAGAACACTTTTGACTGGGTTGATAATGCGCTGGTTCGAGAGACACAATCACCAACGGTGTCGCATCGTCATAAGACTGGGATTGACACCCTTAATAAGCCTCGATGGAGTGCGTGTTATAGAAATAAAATTCGATTCATGTCCTCGAATATTTACGTGTAATCTAAACCTTATCAACCTCAGATACATCGATCGGACATTAACGGAAAACCAATTAAATATTATTTTATAAAAAAATTATATATACTCTCCCCAAAAGAAACGCATCACGAAAATATCAATTTTACAAAAGGTATTTCTCTGTTTATGAGTCCTATGGTGTTTATGTTTTGAAACATCACAACAAAACGCACCATCCGTAAAATAAACCGTATTTACACAATTCAAATGCAATGCACGTGAAAGTTGGGGAGCAGATAGTCTCAATCGGGGCGTTGATAAAAGGTTGATCGCTGTCTGTCGATTATTCACTGTATTTGGAATATTGTTGACGAATGCAAAGTGCCACGTCTAAGTGAAGCCAACCGTCATATCGCCATTGGTTTTGCTTGGAGCTGGCAAAGTCTCAACGTGCAGCTGCCCCACGCATGAATGTTCACTAAAGCACCATTTCACGGCTCTGGGAGAGATATCACCGGCAGAATTCGGTAGCAGATGCCCATCGTAGTGGGTAACCTTGAGCGACCACTGCGGCGCAGGATCGCTACATCCGGGTACATCACCTGTGTCATTGGACAGCTACGGCGACCAGTACCGCTTGACAAATACCTGGATTGAAGGGGCTTTCTGCACAGACCATCAGGAACAGGTTGAGAGAGGCTGGTTTTACTTGTCAGAAGACCTTATTTTGGCCCTGTGGATTTGACAACAACATCGTCGACATCAAGTTCAATGGTGCACCAATGTTCAGGCCTGGAACCTACCGAATTGGCGTAGAATGTGGTTCAGTGATGAATCACGATTTCTATTGGACGGCGAGATGGAAGAATGCAGGTGTACAGACGTCGACGTGAACGTTTCGCCGACGCTTGCGTTCCCCAGGTGGACAGATTCGGCCGGGACAGTGTTATGATGTGGGGAGCGATCACCTGCCGTAGGAGAAGTGATTTGGTGATGATCCAGGGCAACCTGACAGCTCAACGGTACTGTGACGAAATCCTACGCCCACACCTCCTTCCAATCATTGATCGCCAGAGGGAGTTGTTTCAACAGGACAATGCCAGGCCCCACACAGCACGTCACACTAGAGACTTCAGCAACTCACACAGGCACTACAGGCAGAGTGGGCTGCGATTGGGCAACACGAGATTCTGAGACTTATTCGTTCGATGCCGAGGCGATGCCGTGCAGTTCTGGATGCCCACGGTGGTCACACGAGGTATTGACTTCAGCGCCACCACACGTCTCCATGTGACACTCAAACTGACTTTCCTCGAGTTGGTGCCAAAGACGGATAAGTCTGCATTCCCAGTGTGCAGTTTCGCTATATTTCATTGACTCATAAAGCCTACAAGATGTTTCAAAATAAACATAAAAATACAGTTGAAATTCCTATATGCGTTTTCTTTGGGAGAGTATATATACACACACAGAATGGGATGAAGTAGCAAAAACACTGGAAACCGTAGACGGGTTTCATTTGTGACAGAGATGCGAGATCAAACAACAACTAGAACGTGAACATGATACGCGGTCCGCATTACAGAAAAAATATCACAGGGCCGTCAATTCCGTGGACGGTGTTGACAGCACTCTGGTTTCAGTCAGCATGGGATTACGCAGTTATCCGGTTATTATCCACCATTGTGGCTGCACCCGTGGTGCTAGGCATCGAATTAACAGCCAGAGTGGTAGGGTTGATTGGATTGACCCTGAATTTCGTGTCTGCAACGTAAAGCATTGAAACACAATGAAATTAGAATTCTAGCCAAAGCAAAGTTAAACACAATAGATGATCATATTTCCACCGCGCTCACCGACTCTAAAATCTCTGTGGAAGAGTTTCGTTTGGTGCTATCAGAAATTGCAAAATATCACAGAATGAAACAGGAGATTCGGACCAAGTCTCGTAAAACGGTGTCATTTGCAAAAACGAGAAAAACAAATTCATAGAACAAGGGAAGCAACAGGCCCAACAAGCCTTCATTACAACAACCAAACAAATCATGGAAGGAGATTCACAATAAATTTCATCAACATAACATAGCCAGCCATCTCAGCGTAAAATAGCTGAGCCGAGACATACACACTGCGACTCGCCCACAGCGCTCCCTCAATGCTATCAAGACGGCAGCAACCCGGGAACTGCCGAGAGATGCGGTATGATTTAGTGGTAATCAACATAACGTTGCCACCCAGCCAGCCAGTCGGCTGTACAAAGCCAAGCCTAGCCACACACTGCGACTCGCCCACAGCACTCGCTCAGTGATACCGAGACGACGACCCGGGAGAAACTACCGAGAGATGCGTTTCATTCACTTTCGACATCTGTAGCCTCACTAGTCAACCGGCCGTGCATCATCATCATAGACGAGCCGAGAGACACACACACTTATACTCGTCCACGACGCTCGCTCAAAGCAACCCCGAGACGGGAGTGAGGGTGATGCGTTTCATTCAGCTAAAAACACCTCTCACCTCGATAATATATAACAAGTACGACAATAGGTTGGATTGTTAGCCTTTCGCCAGACCGACCCCATGCTCACTAAAAAGTGAGTATTTCTAAACTATTTTCCGATTTCTGTGAAATTTTGCATGCATCTCGGCAGATGGTTACGCTATAGCAAACACTCTCGATGACTTCATTAGATTAAAGGTCACATGCAACCAAAAGTCAAACAAAATTAAAACACAATTATCACTTATTCATGACATATAATATACATTTGCTGGTTACGAAAAATATATAAACAAAATTATAAGCGTACAATCGCAAATCGAAAGTGCAAAATTGTGTACTTCAGTTTACTTCCCAAGAAACGAAGCAGCCGGGATACCGAACCCAGTCAGAGCGGGTGGGTGTGCACTCTCAAGTGTAACGGCTGGTTCATTTTGCAGATGCCTTCACGGCTTATTGTGTGTATATATATATAGAGAGAGATGTTGGGTTTTGTAAATACATGCTCATTTTTTGTGTATAACATTTTGCAATCAACAGACATCATAACATGTCATGTGTTCAAGTATCACACCTGCCTGTCTGTGTAATTACATAATGTGACAGAGACCGAACTCGGGCCATAAATCAATGCGTTTTGTTTATGGTGTACAGCCTGATTGGTGTTAAGTTCAAATTGCATGTGGTCAGTGATAGCAGTTGTGTATTGAATATTGTCATTAGCAGACAGGCAGGCAGACACACACACAGGTGTCAATAAAACAAGACATTGAGTTTTGTCTGTGACAACGACATATCTATATCACAGTTAGAAATTCTGTCAACGCTAAATAATGACATTGCTTTTAAGTATCGAACTGAGAAAGTGACTCGGTAAGAAGAACGTGTGGTGAAATAGACAAATGAAATTATATAAACAGTTAATTTACTGTCATAACATATAAAACATTAGAAAAATAGCTCACACCAAAGCCTTCACCGAGTATTCACATCGACAACCCGCTTGCAAGCTGCGCGAACCTATTTACTTGTGCACGTGCTATGAGCGAAGCCCAGCTGTTGAAACCCGTTTACCCCAGAAAAGTCTGGGGAAAATTAGTGAAAAGTTTGAACTCCGATTTGTAGCGGTTTTATTTCATCGCGTTATTTTTCAACTTTATAAGCTGAATTTGCATTTTTGACCATTTGTTTCGGTATGTCCATACCGAAAGGTATCAGAATCTGCAAAGTTGTGTTTTACGTTGCATGTGACCTTTATTTAGACATAATTACGACAAAAGTTGGACATTTTGCCTTTTCCCATCCGACACCATGCTCACTTAAAAGTCAATACTTCAGAAACTATTCGACCGATTTTCATCAAATTTTGCATGCACCTCAGTAGTAGTATGCACAATGGGGCTACGGGATTAAGGACTTATCTAAGGCTTAATTTTAATTAAGCCTTGATATAGAGACCTGGTCCCGTAGCCCCATTATTGTATACTACTGGTTTTAAGAAACACATTATCACAGATCCACTTGCTGTAACCAGGATCATCGGCAATACTCCACATGTACTCATCTCAATGCCTTTGTCCCGTCTGTTGGGTAGGAGTGAAGATTGTGTATTTGCTAATCAAATGGGGTTGTATATACTCACTCACGCATACGTACCAAAGCTAACCAGCAGTATGCAATCAGCACTTGCTTTTTCTCGTTCTACAATAATTGAAAAGGGGTTATGACGTCTTCAGCTCGTAACACTCTATATTTAAAATCAACCAACATAAACAGAGGCCTTTATTTTTATTTCTGAAAGCTGAATCATTTTAAAAGAAAGTATTTAAATGCCAAAGAAGTATTCAAATGTACAAATGATACCCCACAAACGATGTGTAATCTACATAATTCTTATAATGTTGATATTATCAAATCTGTTGCAATTTTCATAAAACATTTGATGTCCCATTCTTAAATCCATCCTTGATAGTCTCCAGAGTATGCGTTCCGATAAATCTCCACTTGTACCCTGGATGCATCTGCGACACGGGCCGATAATTGTATTACCTCATTTTCTGGTTCCGCCTTCTCACAGTAGCCAATCAGATAAGCCGTTACAACCGAGCTTGCCAGTGTTAACAAAGATGGCGGACACAGCCGCGAAGGTTTGGCTCGCTGTGCGACTTAAATTTCGGGGAAAAATCATACAGACAAATTGACAGGTTTGCAACCTTCAAAACATATATGCAAGACCTCCTTCTACCTCTTTCAGGGTACCTCTGTAAAAATTGTGTTGCCAAGTTTAATCAGTTAGATAAAGGAAGCGGAAGCGAGTTATTATGGAAGCCTTATGATTGGTACGCTCAAGTTCCCAGCGTAGACACCTGATTTGATAAAAAGCCAGCAAATGAAGAATAAACACATTTATCAGGCCGAGCCGTAGATCTGCATCCAGGGTAATAGTGGAGATTTATCGGAACGTATAGCCTGGAGATTATCGAGGATGTAACATATTACGTGTAAAACCTCATGTCACGTGACCAATAATTGTCATTAAACATCTTCAGTTGTACTTTGGGTCACTGGGTATCACCTACCGAATATAACCTGTCTGTCTGTAAACACATCAATATTTATCTTGACTGGTGCAATATTTAATTGTAAACATATCACTCTTTCTCTTCCACTGTTCAATATAAAACGTAAGCAGGCCACTTGTTCTCTTGAACTATTCAATATGTAATGCAAACATAACACTATTACTATTGAACTAGGCAATACATACTGTAAACATATCACTAGTTCTCTTGAGGTATTCAGTATATAATATAAACATGTCACTATTTCTCTTGAACTTTTTAATATATAATGCATTTAATAACTTATCCATTATCCAACGTAAACGTTCTAACAGTGGTCAGGCATACTTACGATATCAGATATCTCGACAAGGGTGAAGTCCATCCACACATCTAGGGTGGTGTTAGGACCAAAGGGTTCAACACGTTTGTCGTAAGTTCAGAAACAAATCAGCAACCAGCTGTTGTTTTGGATTGCAAGCCGCGGATGCTGACAACAGAACAATCTCGTGGATAAACAGGCAAAACCACCCAACAGGACACTATAAAATAGACAAAAGACGTGAAACAACAGGACATCATCAGGGGTAGACAGGATACGTCACTATAGACAGGAGACAGAGAGGGACGTGAAACAACATGATATCATCAGGGGTAGACAGGAGATTAAAACAACATGACATCATCAGGGGTACACAGGAGACGTGAAACAACAGGACGTCATCAGGGATAGAAAGGAGACGTCACACAACAGGACATCATCAGGGTAGACAGGAGACTTCAAACAACAGGACATGATCAGGGATAGACAGGAGACTTCAAACAACAGGACATCATCAGGGGTAGACAGGAGATGTAAAACAACAAGACATCATCATGGGTAGACAGGAGACTTCAAACAACAGGACATCATCAGGGGTAGACAGGAGACGTGAAACAACAGGACTCCATCAGGGATAGACAGGAGATGTAAAAAACAGGACATCATCAGGGATAGACAGGAGACGTGAAACAACAGGACTCCATCAGGGGTCGACAGGAGACCTGAAACAACAGGACATCATCAGGGGTAGACAGTTTACGTGAAACAACAGGACATCATCAGGGGTAGACAGTTGACGTGAAACAACAGGACATCATCAGGGGTAGACAGGAGATCTTAAACAACAGGGCATAATCAGGGAAGACAGGAGACGTGAAACATCAGGGCATCATCAGGGACTGACAGGAGACGTGAAACAACAGTACGTCATCAGGGATAGACAGGAGACGTCAAACAACAGGACATCATCATCTGGGATAGACAGGAGACGTTAAACAACAGGACTCCATCAGGGGTAGACAGGAGACGTGAAACAACAGGACATCATCAGAGATAGACATGATACGTCACACAACAGGACATCATGAGGGATAGACAGGAGACGTGAAACAACAGGACATCATCAGGGGTAGACAGGAGACGTTAAACAACAAGACATCAAGTGTAAAGGAGATCAGTAGCACAGGGATATACAAGAGAATGAAAAAACAGCATAATATCAGGAGTAAGGAGATCGGACACACAGGGATATACAAGAGACATGAAACAACAGCATAGCATGAGGTGTAAGGAGATTGGAAACACCGGGATATACAGTGGAAGCCCTCCCAACCGGCATCCCTCCAATCCGGCATGCCCTCAACATCGGCACTAGAATTTGGTACCGGCAGAAGCTAGTTATTTAGATCATTTACACGTCCTCTAAACCGGCGTCAGTCAATTCCGTATTTCGGCACAATAAAGACCGCCCAATTGACTGTTGATTGGCTCAACGTAACAACACAGTGGATTACGGTTAAGTACGATGGAGTGTGGTTAAAGATTATGCCTGAGTAGGTGAAATAAATTGGTGAGTGAAACGTGTCAATTGTATTATAAATTAATTGTCGTGTCACAATTTGTCAGTCGCTCACCGTATCATCAGGGGTAGACAGGAGACGTTAAACAACAGGACATCATCAGGGACAGACAGGAGACGTCAAACAACAGGACATCATCAGGGGTAGACAGGAGATGCAAAACAACAGGACATCATCAGGGGTAGACAGGAGACGTGAAACAACAGGGCATTATCAGGGACAGAGAGGAGACGTGAAACAACAGGACATCATCAGGGTAGACAGGAGACGTGAAACAACAGGGCATCACCAGGGACAGACAGGAGACGTGAATCAACAGGACATCATCAGGGGTAGACAGGAGATGTAAAACAACAAGACATCATCAGGGTTAGACAGGAGACGTGAAACAACAGGGCATTATCAGGGACAGAGAGGAGACGTGAAACAACAGGACATCATCAGGGTAGACAGGAGACGTGAAACAACAGGGCATCACCAGGGACAGACAGGAGACGTGAAACAACAGGACATCATCAGGGGTAGACAGGAGATGTAAAACAACAGGACATCATCAGGGACAGACAGGAGACGTGAAACAACAGGACATCATCAGGGGTAGACAAGAGATGTAAAACAACAGGACGTCATCAGGGGTAGACAGGAGACGTGAAACAACAGGGCATTATCAGGGATAGAAAGGAGACGTCACACAACAGGGCATCATCAGGGTAGACAGGAGACGTGAAACAACAGGGCATCACCAGGGACAGACAGGAGACGTGAAACAACAGGACATCATCAGGGGTAGACAGGAGATGTAAAACAACAAGACATCATCATGGGTAGACAGGAGACTTCAAACAACAGGACATCATCAGGGGTAGACAGGAGACGTGAAACAACAGGACTCCATCAGGGATAGACAGGAGATGTAAAAACAGGACATCATCAGGGATAGACAGGAGACGTGAAACAACAGGACTCCATCAGGGGTCGACAGGAGACCTGAAACAACAGGACATCATCAGGGGTAGACAGTTTACGTGAAACAACAGGACATCATCAGGGGTAGACAGTTGACGTGAAACAACAGGACATCATCAGGGGTAGACAGGAGATCTTAAACAACAGGGCATAATCAGGGGAAGACAGGAGACGTGAAACATCAGGGCATCATCAGGGACTGACAGGAGACGTGAAACAACAGTACGTCATCAGGGATAGACAGGAGACGTCAAACAACAGGACATCATCATCTGGGATAGACAGGAGACGTTAAACAACAGGACTCCATCAGGGGGGTAGACAGGAGACGTGAAACAACAGGACATCATCAGAGATAGACATGATACGTCACACAACAGGACATCATGAGGGATAGACAGGAGACGTGAAACAACAGGACATCATCAGGGGTAGACAGGAGACGTTAAACAACAAGACATCAAGTGTAAGGAGATCAGTAGCACAGGGATATACAAGAGAATGAAAAAACAGCATAATATCAGGAGTAAGGAGATCGGACACACAGGGATATACAAGAGACATGAAACAACAGCATAGCATGAGGTGTAAGGAGATTGGAAACACCGGGATATACAGTGGAAGCCCTCCCAACCGGCATCCCTCCAATCCGGCATGCCCTCAACATCGGCACTAGAATTTGGTACCGGCAGAAGCTAGTTATTTAGATCATTTACACGTCCTCTAAACCGGCGTCAGTCAATTCCGTATTTCGGCACAATAAAGACCGCCCAATTGACTGTTGATTGGCTCAACGTAACAACACAGTGGATTACGGTTAAGTACGATGGAGTGTGGTTAAAGATTATGCCTGAGTAGGTGAAATAAATTGGTGAGAGTGAAACGTGTCAATTGTATTATAAATTAATTGTCGTGTCACAATTTGTCAGTCGCTCACCGTATCATCAGGGGTAGACAGGAGACGTTAAACAACAGGACATCATCAGGGACAGACAGGAGACGTCAAACAACAGGACATCATCAGGGGTAGACAGGAGATGCAAAACAACAGGACATCATCAGGGGTAGACAGGAGACGTGAAACAACAGGGCATTATCAGGGACAGAGAGGAGACGTGAAACAACAGGACATCATCAGGGTAGACAGGAGACGTGAAACAACAGGGCATCACCAGGGACAGACAGGAGACGTGAATCAACAGGACATCATCAGGGGTAGACAGGAGATGTAAAACAACAGGACATCATCAGGGTTAGACAGGAGACGTGAAACAACAGGGCATTATCAGGGACAGAGAGGAGACGTGAAACAACAGGACATCATCAGGGTAGACAGGAGACGTGAAACAACAGGGCATCACCAGGGACAGACAGGAGACGTGAAACAACAGGACATCATCAGGGGTAGACAGGAGATGTAAAACAACAGGACATCATCAGGGACAGACAGGAGACGTGAAACAACAGGACATCATCAGGGGTAGACAGGAGATGTAAAAACAACAGGACGTCATCAGGGGTAGACAGGAGACGTGAAACAACAGGGCATTATCAGGGATAGAAAGGAGACGTCACACAACAGGGCATCATCAGGGTAGACAGGAGACGTGAAACAACAGGGCATCACCAGGGACAGACAGGAGACGTGAAACAACAGGACATCATCAGGGGTAGACAGGAGATGTAAAACAACAAGACATCATCATGGGTAGACAGGAGACTTCAAACAACAGGACATCATCAGGGTAGACAGGAGACGTGGAAACAACAGGACTCCATCAGGGATAGACAGGAGATGTAAAAAACAGGACATCATCAGGGATAGACAGGAGACGTGAAACAACAGGACTCCATCAGGGGTCGACAGGAGACCTGAAACAACAGGACATCATCAGGGGGTAGACAGTTTACGTGAAACAACAGGACATCATCAGGGGTAGACAGTTGACGTGAAACAACAGGACATCATCAGGGGTAGACAGGAGATCTTAAACAACAGGGCATAATCAGGGGAAGACAGGAGACGTGAAACATCAGGGCATCATCAGGGACTGACAGGAGACGTGAAACAACAGTACGTCATCAGGGATAGACAGGAGACGTCAAACAACAGGACATCATCATCTGGGATAGACAGGAGACGTTAAACAACAGGACTCCATCAGGGTAGACAGGAGACGTGAAACAACAGGACATCATCAGAGATAGACATGATACGTCACACAACAGGACATCATGAGGGATAGACAGGAGACGTGAAACAACAGGACATCATCAAGGGTAGACAGGAGACGTTAAACAACAAGACATCAAGTGTAAGGAGATCAGTAGCACAGGGATATACAAGAGAATGAAAAAACAGCATAATATCAGGAGTAAGGAGATCGGACACACAGGATATACAAGAGACATGAAACAACAGCATAGCATGAGGTGTAAGGAGATTGGAAACACGGGATATACAGTGGAAGCCCTCCCAACCGGCATCCCTCCAATCCGGCATGCCCTCAACATCGGCACTAGAATTTGGTACCGGCAGAAGCTAGTTATTTAGATCATTTTACACGTCCTCTAAACCGGCGTCAGTCAATTCCGTATTTCGGCACAATAAAGACCGCCCAA